TGCATTTTTAAAACCACCAACATAGAAAGCAGCAGTGTGGAGCAGGGGCAGACTTTATCATATGGGGGTCCTAAGCATATAAACCTGTCAATTTGAAACCAAATCTGATCTCTAACTGAAAGATTGCAATGATATAAAAAAAACATGTAATGTATGGCTAGCAATTCTCAGCCACAGCAATTAAGTTTATTTACATTCTGTAAAGCAAATGCATTACAGCTATTTTTGTAGCCAAGTGCGCCCATACCACAGGGGATTGAAATAGCATGCATATAAAAGATATGATGCATTGGACAACATTAAATCTGACTCACTGGTTTCTTTTATTTTTATTTTTATATGTCATATTGAAAATAATTGTAACATGTATCTAATGTATTAACCCCCATTTTCAACTTCATATCTCAAAAAACGTCGTATTTTTCTAACACAAGATTAAATATCTACTGGATTACAACGCACTTAAAATGTGGAATTCGCTATTAATTATACAGTATATAAATTACTGTACTGAGCTAAGGGGTAAAACATATGGTGTTAGTTTAAAACCTTTGAAAACACTTCAGAAAAGAGCAATCAGGACCATACACAAGATGAGTCTGAGAGAACACACACTGACAAATGATTTCTGAAATCATAATAGGTTAAACATGAAGATCTGATCAATCAAAAAAAATTTATTTATGTTTGAAGCAAACCGTGCTCATTACCTCTTCATTTACAGAAATGATTTACCATACGAGATTGTTCAGTAAGAACACAGGATAACATATCTATCAAGTTCAATTCTTTTAGAACAACATTAAAACAACAATGTGTTTTCATTTACTGAGTAAAATAAGGGAATCATTAAGGCAGAGCCTTACATTGCTGTGTAGACATTCAGCCACTCAAATTGTGCTTTAGATTTTTCTTAAAGACTTTGATGTAGTGCTTAAAATAAAACATGTTTGAGGTTAAGAGGAGTAGCTGAACTGTATGAAGTAGTGGAAGGAGTAGGCATGACTCAAGAATGACTACTCTTTTTAGCAAACAAATGAAGGGTGTTGGTTCTTAAAGTAAATATCCTCTAAATTATTTTAATTTTTTATTCTAAATGTTTTTAACATCGTTGCCTTTGCATGCTGTAGGGACCAATTTGGCTTCTTCTGCACTAATAGACTGTCTCAGAGCACGTGTCTGTTCTAAAAAGGAAAAATAAAAAGGAGACAGGAAAAGGAAGAGGAAACGGAGGAGGGGACAGGGATCTAAAGAGGACAGGAAGAAAGAATAAAACCAGTGGTTCACAGGAACTGTAGGGTAAATCAGACTAAAGGACAAGAGGAGGAAGAGTGAGCACTATGACAGGTAGTAACAGTCATGCTGCTCTTCTAGCACCTTAAATCGTTTTTATCCCCATGCAGGCGAAGACAAGTCAGCACCTTCCTAAGTAGAAGTTTTCACCTTGACCCATTCTCCATCCCTCTTACTTCATCCCTCGCTCCCCATCTCATGTTGCAGTGTTGACCTTATCCTCTTCATTCCCCTCCTCCTTCTCTTTGGCTGTCCTCTGTGTGTAAGACTGTCTACAACAGTTACTGATCCATCACAGTCTCTGTTGGTCATGTGTCGCTGTAATCACCTCATTAATCAGGGGTGAGTGGCACACTGTCTGTGTTGGCGCTAAAGGAGCAGTTGGGGACTTCACTTTGAGCTAGCATCCTAGAAACACACATGCTAACACATTTGTTTTAACTGACATAGCAAATGAAGTGTCTAAATGAATGTCTAAAAAAGATTATGACACACACAAACCCTCATTCATAAGATATTAATTTGTTCCTGTTGGTAATATCCGGCTGGAGAATGATTATATTTCCAACTGTTGGCGTGCGCACTTCCATATGAATGTGGAAATTACCCATTGTTGCTCCTCAGCATGCCAGGAAGCACCTTTCACAACAAACTCAGCCTCCTCAAGACTGATTCTATCCAATGCAACCACTATAGCATCTGATTACTTAATTCTGTTTGGCAATGTATCAACCACATCGGAGTGGTTTTGCTAATGGACGTAGATCTTTTCATAAAAGCTTTAGAGAAAAGTAGAGGGCCATGATGACTCAGCAACATTTTTAGTTTAGCAAAAAGCAAAAATAAAAAGCGTAAACAATAGCGCTGTTCGTTCGCCGACAGTTCACACAGAAGTGTGGCACACAAAGAAATTTGCCATTTGCTTGCCAACCGGCAAGGAAAGGCCTCCTGAGCTGTGGAAATACCCTGTTTGAGTCTCTCTAGGAACGTTCAAGAGTATTCTGAAGGTGAGAACAAATGACATGCAGAGATTTAGAGGAGCTGTAACTGTGACCCTAAAAGGGAAATTCAGCAGTGTTGCAGCGTTGATGCCTAGTGATGTGCTACCATAGCGGACATTATTTCCTGGCTGTGGTCCATCAGACCTCTGAGAAACAGAACACAGTGAACTCTCTTCTCTTTAAGCATTCTGGCTCTTTGGTGGCCATCACCCCTTGAATAGCAGCTATGTGAGCATGACTGCACAGCACTATTTCTGTGTGCTCTGCTACTTGACATTGAGAGGCCGGGATTAGGTGGCTCCACTACTGTATATGACCAGCCTCTGCCACACACACAAACACATACACATGTGTGTAAATACTCATAGTCACGTTCATACTGTACTGTAAAGTCCTGTGACAAATACACTATGGAAAAATAGCTTCATATATCTGGAACAAAGCAATCATAGTCATCAGCATATTGTTGTATTCCCCACAAATTATACATTTCATGTTATCAAGAAGCAGTCTGTTTTCAGCAGGGTTAGGGTTAGAGTTTGTCTGTTAAAATGCATTGATTGAGTTGGCTCCTGCCGAGGATAAAGACCACATGTTTGACAAAACAAAACATTTGGGGGTGTGGAGTTCATATAGAATCCTAACAAAAGTACAGAATGTTTATTAGCTAATTTATTGTGATCAGAGAAAGTGTAGTTGTCGTCATATTGTGTCTGGCTCTTAAAACCTTAGATCTCTCAAACATTAAAATAAATATGAGCAAAATCTTTTCAGCAAAATCCTGACAAAGACTAGAAATATTGGGTTGTGGAGTTTTTTTTGGACTGTGGCCAAATGTTAACCCCTGAAACATCCAACACTGTCATTTAATATTAAGCCTGTGATCGTGTGTCATATTCATATCATTGTTTTATTGTTTTTAGGCATCTGTATAAAATGTTGGGGTTTTGTTGTTTGTATGAGGAAAAACTACATATACAGAGTTTAATTAAACATCTTTTACATGCAGTTAGTTTGTCAACTAAAAAAAACAAACTAAGCAGATATAAATATGAGTAAGGGTTGCTGAGAAAGTTAAATGATGAACTGAAAAATTGTCAGTTGCTCAACAAATAGTTATGAGAGGTTCTGAATCAGGTGCCACACCCTGATGTTTCAGCTGAACATCTGTCTTGAAAAGCCTTCCCCCTGTGTGAAAACCCAACTGTATCTTGTTTATTAAGTATATATAGAAAGTATGGGAATCCAACCCACAAACATCCCATAGTAAACATGTAAACGCTTGTGTTTTGCTGTGGATATATGCTTGTTATGGTTCGGTTAACCCCTTTAACCAGCAGACCCAGCTTGAAGGCATAACTGTACCACATTCCCACACAAACACACACACACTCTGTGTCGGTGTACAACATCCGTGTAGGAGGTAACTTCAAGGGGTGACTAACATTCGGCTGGATCTCTGCCTGCCTTTGAGTCCAGCTGGGTCTTTGACTTTTCTTACCCCCATTAAACCTGTGTGCGGCATACATGACAGTGTTGTTGCATCCTGCTAGTATTTGTCGTATGTGGTCTCTCTGAACTTTGCAGCACTCAGGGCTGGTTCAGGTCTCAGATGTTAAACGTGGTGGTGTGTCTTTGAACGAAACATCTGTTGGCTGTGTGAGTAATGGTGTGTGGTGTTATGGCATGATGTACTCTGGCTGAACATCAGGTGTCCTCTCAGTCTACACACTGCACATCTGTTGCCCCGTGGCTAAGTACACACACACACACACACACACACACACACACACACACACACACACACACACACACACACACACACACAGTGGTAAGTGAGTTTTGACCGCACTCTTGATGAGTGATTGATCTGTCAGTGAATCTGATGATGCTGTTGTCAACACGTGACACTGATAATGTCATAGTTTCAAATGTGGTTGAAAGAGACAGGCCTCTAAGACAAAAAAAACCTCATTGTTAAATTGCACATAACAGTAGTTATATAACGGTATTGTGGTGTTAAAACATAATATACCAAGTGGGCGATGTACCTTCCAAGTACTAAAAATATTTGCCTTTGGAGCACTGAACATAATAGCTCTGATGGCCAGGATACAGGTGCCTTGGTTAAAAGCTGTTGCACACACGTGACGTCAGACACAGGAATAATACAAATATTATCTTTACTATAATTACAGTTCCTGAATCGGCCAAAAGAACACACTGGTGATATCATTATCTTGACCGGCTGTTTGAAAATACCACATTAATGTGAGGCTCGACTCAGGAAGTGCACCAAAGGGCAAGAATAAACTTGACCTTACTTAACTGATCTGAGACTCTATTAATGCTAAATGTTAAAAGCACACATTGCTTTGATTTGTACTGTTTGATAGCCTAATACAGAAACCCTATGAAGACATGCATTCATACAATTTATTTTACTCCATTTTCCTCTGAAAACAAATATGTTTCAGTTGATCTCCACTTACTTATCTCATTATGTCTGGATAACTACTTTGAGATCTTGATAAATGAATGTGTTATCACGGGAATTCCAGCGTTGTAATGCCGTGATAACTGTGAATATGTCAAGAAAACAAACGGATATGATTTATCATTGGAGAACAGACTCAAATAAACTGTATGGAGTCAGGTCTGCCTTGGGCTTTTGTAAGAAGAAAAGAAGTGAAAACTACAAGAACAAAAATTCAGATAATTCTTTTTTATTTTGGATCTGAAAAAGTTACATAAATAACAGTCACTTCAAAACTGCAGGACAGGATTTGAAAGGGTGGAACACTTGAATTCACATTTCTTTTGCTTGACAGCTGAACATGGAAGTGAGGGAGTTTCTCTTATAATGATGATAAGACGACATATTCATACAGTTCAATGGACTCCCTTCTTACAGTCTCTTAACATTACAGATGAAGAGTGCAGCTTTTATGTTGCTTCTTATTCAAACACAGCCAGTGCAATGTAACTTAATGATATTGATCTTTCACTATGACAGTTAGGCCGAACTCCAAGCCTCATGTGGCCTAAGGATCCCCAAAAGCTGGCGAGTTTTGGGAGTGGATAGTGCCTCATTTTCACTGATGATGTGCCTTTAAGCAAGGCCCTAAACCATTCAACTTTTACAATGGAGCTGCTCAGTGTCTCACAGATCCAACTGGTTGCTTTAAAGTTTATAAGTGTGTAACTGTGTGAGCATGATCAGGGTGTTTCTCTATGTGAAATCCCCCTAAATAAAAGAAAATCATGTCAATTTAATGATCAATCTATTAATCACAGTGCTATTGATCATCTTCTGAGTGCCAAAATTAACGAAATCAGATATTTACGCATCATTTCTCAAGGAGCTAATGCATTTCTTACTTTTCTTTTTCATAAATAAATATCAAGTCTTCCGATAGGAAATATAAAAACAACTGTAACATCTTTATTTCTAAAACGTGTTGTAGGTGGTTAAATCTCTATAAATACAGTTAGCTTAAATAAATAAATTAAAATTATAAATATACCGTTTACTGTACACAAAGAAAATAAAAGATGGACTTTTGCAGGAAAATACAAAACGTTGTCTGTGGAGAAAAAAAATCCAGGTTGAACTCTGGTTTTCGAAAACCTTTTTTTTTTTCTGTTTCAGTTCAGTCTGAAAGGACCTCTTTTCACACAGTCAAGAAGCAGCACAGAGTCTAGACACGTTCCTTCTTCTTCTTCTTCTTCTTCTTCTTCTTCTTGTGCTTTTCACCTCTCGTTTGCCACATCTCCGGTCCATCCTCTGAGCCGTAAGTATTCCAGTTATCGGGCGGGCCATCTTCTTTTCCGAGGCCTTCAGGAAAATGTTCAGGTGTCCTTTTTTTCATCTGAACATCTGGCAGAGGGTCAGGCACACAGCAACCTCTGTTCCCTTCTTCATGTACAATCCTTTTACCCTCTAGGACCTCCCTTCAGGGTCACTTCTCATATTTATTTTGAGGTAGAATCTCCGCTTCTTTGCCTGAAAAGACAAAATAGGAAACAAGTTAAACCACTTTTCATTAAAGAAACAAAGAATTAAAAGTAAGGATATTTGTCTGTGTTTGTGTTTGTGGCCCTGGTTCTTATCACTCACCTCTCTTTGTCTCCTCAGTGGTTGGACGCTAACCCTAGTTTGACCTTCTCTTCACTCTCTACATCATACGCTCCCCGCTTGTGAAACCTGTAATACACACAAGAAAAGGAGCTTGTTTAGGCTACAATCTGTGTCTGAATCTAAATCTCTAGCAAAGCCCTTTATCTGTGTGTGATTGGTAATGTGTGATTGTGGTTGAAACTATGAGTGCTTTACTGACCTGAGCAATAACAAAAGGCCAATTATGGTGAGGCAAACAGACGACAGCACCACTGCCACCACGGCGAGGGCTGTGGTCCGGTTGTAACCCTCTTGAGGCTTCTCTAAGGGCAGCGTGAAGAACTGACACCTCTCACCGGAGTAACTCGGATGGCAGCTGCACACAGGACAGAGAAGAAGACGTTTAAGTAAATTATTCAGTGGATACAGAAGGGATGCAAAGACGGTGTACAGAAAGATGCAGAGGTGATACTTACACACAGGAGGGGGCACGGATGTCCCTCAGGTATTGGCAGGTGCCGTGGATGCAGAAATCTTTGTACTTCTTCAGGCAAGGATTCCTCTTCTTCCCCTTGCCTTTCCCTCTCTTTCTTCCCTTTCCCCTTCTTCTCTTTTCTTCAGTTCTCTCCGACTCCAGGATGGCAGACGGGTCTTTAGGTTTGCTCGACATGGCAACTAAACCAAAAACAGAAAACAAAGAAGAAAAGTTAGATTTTATAGTTTTTGTTTGGGCAGAAAAAATAAGATTACAGAAGATCCCTAAATTGACTCTCTTACCTTGTGGATGTTCCACATCATAGTCTCCAGACATGCCATCTTCATACTCCTCTACATAGTCATAGTCATCATCATAATCCTCGTCCTCCTCTTCCTCACTTTTCTCCATTGTTGTTGCTGCTGCGCTTCTGCTCTCCTCCTCTATCCTTTTGTCTTTGGTTGTGTCCAAAAAGTTGATAACAGTTATGTCCCGATGCCTGTCGCTCTCATACCTGTCAACTGCAGCACCGCTGGCCAGTCTGGACAACACTGGAGGAGAAAATGGACAGAATCGTTAAAAAATGACATCACAGTTTGGTTTGATACAATCTTATACCTAAAGAAGAACTTAAAAACACTTCCTCTAGGGGGCTATGTGTGCTTTTGGTTAGTGTACCGAGGAGGGCAGGACTTCTGGGGGCAAGTTGAAACATGTTGTGCCCAAGGAAGCTCCAGACTGGATTTTTTTTGGGCTTTAAGGAGAATCAGACTGATCCATGTTAGGAAATGCACACACTCAGATACATAGCATGTTCTATAGAGGGTTGGTGGGTTGTCTGGTTGAGTGGTTGAGTGGAAACTGGCCAAGAATGAGGCAGGGAGGAGAAGGCACATTCAACTCTCCCAGGGACACTTTAGATTTGAAATGAAATACAGCGGGGTTGGTGTTTACAACTCTCTCTGTTTCATACACACTCACAAAATGCATGGACAGACAGTTAGCTAATGTCAGGCAAGAATATGAGTTAAAAATAAATGTATCCAGTTACATAAAGCATGCTCTAAAATAGAGAGATGACCCCATTAGCTCATGAATAGCCTGGCATCATGAAAACTTTACCTTAAAGGTTATGAAGTTTACAACACACGTTATTAGCTCGGCCATGCTTGGCAGGTTCAGCACTTAAAGCCAAGAAAAGACGCACAGAAGGCAAATCGTCTTGGCACATGGTAATAATATCTCAGCTGAAGGGGAAACATCTAATACTTGAAACTTACCCAAGGCGTGAACCAGAAGGAGCACAACAGCCAAAATCCTCATGATGTCTGAACTTCCAGTGATTTGTTTAGAAGAAAGGTTTCAAAAATAAGACGACCAACAAGTTGTATTCCTTCCTGTTGTTCGGCGTCTAAATATTCCTTCGTTTCTTTTCTTTTTCAGGATATTTTTGGATGGTTTAATCCCGCTTTGTTTTTGACCTCTTCGACTTAGACTACTTCTGATGGCTGGTGTGTCTCGGATGTTAGTGCCTGAGAGGAGCGCAGTGAGAGAGCGTCCGCACAGAGGCTCCGCGGTATTTATTGCGCCTCCTCCTCCTCCTCCTCCTCCTGCTGTAGCCTGCTTCACCACGCCTACACAACAGCCGAATGCACTACTAGATTGCAGCACTCTCTCTCTCTCTCTCTCTCTCTCTCTCTCTCTCTCTCCATCTGTGTGTATGTGTGTGTGTGTGTGTGTGTGTAGTCCAGGACAAGATACAGACGAATACAGCTCAAAGTGTGTGCTGATGTAAGGAGGGACTATTAGTAGTTCCATTACAAGCTTTAATTGGGCTACTGGATTCATATTTTCTGTTATCACTTAGGCTACTTTGGTCTAGAGGAACAGTAGGGCCAGCTCTAATGGTCACAGTAGGAAGCATTACTAAGGTGTTATTAAGTAATTATGTTGCCTACTATTATTGTCTGCACTTCATCCAGAATAGATTTATGGATGGATAGATTTAGGGTGGGTATGGTTGTAACCTGAGACAAACCGTGATTTGTGGAAAAACATATAGGCCTATTATACAACTTGATTTGAGGCAATGATATAATAAACAGCTGTAATTCCCAACCATAGACTGTAAATATATTAAGGTCCGAAACAATTATTAAAGCGTTGTCCCAATATTAGTGTGTTTATCTTTCCATAAGCAACAGGTCCTTTTTCAGGTCAGGTTTGAGTTTGACATTTTAATATCACAACTCTTCCTGTAATTTTACATAGGCCTACACGTTCAGGTTTTTTTTAAATTCCGGTTTAGTTTAGTGGCTTACACTCACATGTACGGGTGCTTTAGCACTACAAGTGAAATTGACATGTTGGGCTATGACTACTAGTCTTAATAAAAGATTAAAAATGATAAAAGCTCGCTCTAAAAAGGGCTGATGAATTGTTTCTCAAAGCGCCTTAAGATGCGCTAAAGGCAAATAGGCTTAATCCGCTGTATGTCAGCGCCACCACGCGGGAGGAAAGGGAACTACGTCATAGGTTAGCCTGTTCTACTGAGTGCACGTGTAAAGGACAACAGGTGGACTCACATGGCTTAAAGGCTTGGTTTCAGTTATTGATCTTTTGTCTGTCATGCATAGAAGGAGGGCCTATCTAATATGTGTTGGACATTTGTTGTCCTTGTTTCTGTGAAAGAACGGGGCAGTCACAAAAACTGTAATTTGTGTTGTTCAATAATAAGCATATACTTGATTGCTAAACTGGATGTAAAATATATAGATGACAGAACACAACATAATACAGAAACCATGTAGTTGTGCAAAGTCATATCAACAACTCATTATGGAAATGCCATTTAGGCTATACATGACCAAATTGTTCAATTATTTAACTTACAGTTAACCTGTATAAACATAGCCTATGTAACAGTAAATGACAGTCAATAAAAATGTATGATTTGTATCCATCATTAAATTATCCAAATACTTTTTGAACAAATACAGCAGTGTCTTTTTAGACTCATTGCAAAGAATAAGTTAACAAAAGTCATAAAAAAGCTACAGTTAGAGGATTAAGAAGATACTTATTTCACAGTTTATAAAAAGGTCATGTGGGATACGTACCAAAGCCAGCACACGGGCAGGTTGGTTCCTGTGACAGAACGACTGGGCCTCCCCTGCTTGTAACTTTTCTCCTTAGGCTAGATATATATTACCCTGTTTAAATAGAGTTAGGTTATATGTTACTGTATATGCAGCAGACAGCAGCCAGACAGCAGCCACGAACAGTGTGTCTTCAATGGACCACTAGAGGGCAGTAGGGAGGTTCTGTGATGCTGAGTTAAATCTGGGAGATGGAGTGGTCTACCTGGTCACTTTCAGTGAACTCTTCCAGCTGCAGTCCAACATGCACAGAGTTCTGCCTGAATAAACCTGGAGCTGCATGCTTCTGAATGTTGTCTCCACTGGTTAGCTGCAGCTGAACCCTGAAAACCTTGACAAGGTGCAGCATTTTTATTTTTCTATGTAAATACTTGCTGCTGTTTTTATCCTGCACTACAACGAGCCAAATGCAACAAAATGTTGTTCTTATCTGCACTGTAAAGTACAAGTTTGAATGACAATAAAGAAAGTCTAAGTCTAAGTCATGCAGCAGACTGCCTAGCTGTGTGAAACACTTGCACATTGTCAGCAGTTCAAGGAGACATCTGTGGATTCTGTTCCTTTTAAGCGAAAAGGAGGAAGACCTAGAGTGAGCACCAAACAGAATGCAGCCTTATTCACTTAAAGAAGAGAACAAATATTAAGCCAGCTTTGATGCTGCTGCAGTAGCCATCTTGAGCACCGACACATCCACTACCACGTGCTCTAGTTTGATAGTGAAGGGTCCAAGGCAACTGATAAGAAACTGTGACTTTCGACCACAGAAAAATCCAGTGAGAATGCTCTACCTATTCCCATTAAGAGAGAAAAAGTGGTGATGTCAGTCGGGAAAAAACAAAACCCAGATCAGAAAGGTGGTGAAACTGAAGTAGATACATGAGCATTTTAGGGGAAATGTTATAGAGAGATAGACATTTCATTAAAAAAAACTGTAACTGCAAGATTAAAATGGTTGGGACTACATTTTTCTTGTGTTTTTGCAGGCAACAGAGTTGTAAATTGACATAAATGAAAAAGGTGTCAGCCAGGTAAATGGGGAAGTTGAAGTAGAAGATGATAATTTGGGGATTTTGAGGAGATGAATGACAACACAAAAGCAGAATGTACGAGCCCTGTTCTTTTGTGTTGTCAACCTCATCACCACAGAAACAAAGGGCCATGAGAAAAATAGAATAAAGGAAATGGTCAGGTAATGGAGGAAGACTAAAAGAAGAACTGTCTGTGCCAAGTTCTTTAAGAGTAAATACCTCAAAGACTGTGACTGTCAATGAAAAGGAACTTTACTTAGGTGACCGTTCTACTGTGCAGGTTTTCTGTTGAAAAATTGCTGATCAAGCTACAACAGAAGAGTCGCAAAAAACGAACAAACAATTGCTGTGAAGTTCACAAACGACAAACACTTTGAAGATGGAGGTTAGAAGGATGGTATGTCCCCACGTCCTAATTTTCGTTTTTTAAGGACATTCCAAATTCCTCTATACACATATATTAAGGAATATAAATTATATACATTTTAAAAACTTTGAATGTGCATCAGAAATACATTTGTGAAACTCATTTATTTGCTACATTTCTTAATATGTGGATTTTTTTTTAATTTGTAAGGACAGATATGTTAGATAGACAGACAGACAGACAGACAGACAGACAGACAGGCAGACAGACAGATAGATAGATAGATAGAGAGACAGACAGACAGACAGACAGACAGACAGACAGACAGATAGATAGAGAGACAGACAGACAGACAGACAGACAGACAGACAGACAGACAGACAGACAGACAGACAGATAGAGAGATAGAGAGACAGAGAGACAGACAGAGAGACAGACAGACAGACAGACAGACAGACAGACAGACAGACAGACAGACAGACAGACAGACAGATAGATACTTTATTGAAATTCAAAGCATCCAGTAGCAGGTTACAAAGACGTACATGACATGAAACATTTGTTAAAAATTAAACCACAAAACCGACGCCCCCCCCCTCCCATACATATATATTAACCCGAAAAAAATATTTAAAGAATACCTCTAGATAAATCAAATCTTAAACTGTGCTATTAAAAATAGACTTATACAAGAAATGTACATAATGTTCGTGTGAATTTAAAAATATATGTAATTTTGAAGAGAGTCCTTTTTATTTAAAAATTAAAAAAATATATATATTGAGCCATTTTGTGTACATTAATTTTAATTATTAATAAACATGATCACTGTTTTTGCATGTTCACCGCACATTACTCAACAGTCCAGCGGGTGGCGGTAATACACCTTGATGTTCATATTATATCCGCTACAATCCCACGAAGAAGAATAAAGTTCTTACAGCGCGCGTGATTGCTCTGATGTTGTCACGTGAATGTTGGTGGGGGAGGAGAGGAGAGAGGGGAGGGGGGACAAACATGGCCGACGAGTCGGGGGAGGTAAACACAGCTGTTGAGGATGAAGAAGCAAAACAACAGCAAGATGAAGCCAAAGTTTCGGACGTGGCTACGGACGAAGAGTCTGTCGGCAGTAACGACGAGGACACGCCGGAGAGGTCGGCTCAGGCGGCCGCAGAGAACAGCTGGTCGGCTCCCATCCTGTCGCTCGCTCGGAGGGCCACGGAGACGATTAGCAGCGGGGTGAGCTACGCTGCTGCCCACAGAAACGCCTCACAGGGCTCCGCTGCGAGCTCTCCCACTGAAAGAGAGCCCGAACATGATGTCAACAACACTTCAGAGAAGCTTCCAGGTATTATGTGACAATAACCAACTTTTGGAGACTTCACCTTACACTCTTAAGAGCTACTTAATACAATAATAGAGCCATGGAGTCATGTTTACTACTTCCCCTTGAACTAACGTCAGCTGTCAGTAAACACATGACTTCCACAGGAGAACTTTAATGTGATGGATTGATGATCGTGCGCAAAGTCACGCTGCTCACTGCAACAATATGCAGGGATTATTCTGAACTACATAGAGTTTCTCCAGGTCTGCATTTATCTATCTGATATTTATTTCTGATGCTTTTGACTTACAGTTCTGCCTGCTAAAGACCCCATGGCAATAGAGAGATCCAACCTGCTCAGCATGTTGAAGTTGAGCATCAAAGTGTTAATTCAGTCCTCCTTGAATCTGGGAAGGACGCTGGACTCCGATTACCCTCCTCTGCAGCAGTTCTTTATTGTCCTGGAGCATTGCCTAAAACATGGTCTGAAAGGTAAAAAAAAAGTGCTTTTTAATCAGATTTAGTTTCATTTAAATCGATGAAGCCACATGTCATGTATAGATAACGTCAACATTTTTGTTATATTCAGCCAAGAAATCCTTCATTGGTCAGAACAAGTCTGTATGGGGACCTCTGGAGCTGGTGGAGAAGTTGTGTCCAGACTCTGCTAACATTGCCACAAGTGC